TGCTCTCTCTCTCTCTCAGATAATAAATAAAAATCTTAAAGAAAAAATAAAGTGCCCTCTAGAAGCTCTCAAAATTCCGAAGAGTCTAAATTCTGAAAAGCATCTGGCTCCAAGCTTTCTGATATCGGATTTTAGATGTGTTTTACGAAATTCTTCAGAAGAAATAAACTCCTTGAATTCTGGGAAGAATTTATCATGGCCTTTGAATAAGGAGTCTTAAATGATATGATAATAGATAACATTCATTCACCCAACAAATATTTATAGCAGTTTAAAAATAATGCAGATCCATTTTTTTTCAGTCACTATGGAGTTTCCCTGAACTCCTAAGACAGCAAATGGTATAAATGTGTACCTGTCTAAAGTTATGTGGGAAGCTATATCTGAAACATCTATACCTTCCTTAAAATCTAGATCCTCACCACAACTGAAGATTATTTGGATAGAGTTGGCTCAAATGATCGGATAAAAGGGTTGCCAACAATCAATATAGGAGGTGGTGTTACTGGACTAATTGCAGAATAAGCATCACCTCCCCCCGCTGGGCTTCAGTTTCCTCCTACAAAATGTGGATAACAATAGCCATGTTCATGGAGCACTTGCTGGATGCTAGGCAAAGTTCTAAATATTTTACATATTATTTTGTGTAACTCATTTAATTCTCACCATAACATTTTAAGTTATAATATCCCCATTTTTACAGGTAAGGAAACTGAGGTACAGAGAGCTTAAATAATTAGCCCAAGGGTATCCAGCTAGTAAATGGTGGGCCTGAGGTTTGAACCTGGGCAGTCTGGCTCCCAGAGCTCAGGTTCTAAGAACAGTAGTTCCTCCCTTTTCTGCCTCCCCTCCCCTTCTTCTCAAGGGCTGAAATGCTAATTACTAATCAATCTAATCCATTCCTTTAAATAGCCTACCATTTCATTAGTTTAGTGAAATGGGAAGTTATGTGGTTTAGTTGCCTTTTCTTCTGTCCCTAATCTGCCCATTCGTCTGCTGCCCATCCATCCTTCCTTCCATCCATCCTTCCTTCCTTCCACCCACCCGAGATTAATGCAATGTCAGTAGTTACAGGGATACCACTTATCCACCGTTAGCTTCTAGCCTCTATGAACATCACTTACCTCATCAGTATAAAACGGCATCATAATATTTACCTTGCAGACTGCTTGTATTAAATGAGCTGTTTCGTGTCTAATGTCTAGCCTGGAGTTCATATTACTCGGTGTAGTTGAAAGAGACATAATTACATTGACAAAATTCTACAACTGGTAGAACTACAGATTTCACTAGTGTTCCCACCTTCACATTTATTCTAAATCGGTTATATTTTAGTTTTAAAAAATTTAATCCTGCAGCACCCTGGGAGGAGATAATCCTCCAAATGTTGAACTGACTAAGGGACCACATCCACCTTGGCCACCCGTCCCCTTCCTGTGATGGAGGGAGCCGTCTGCCTGTCGGCTGGCAGGGATTCGGGCACGGTGGGGTGGCCTAGTCTCCGTCCCTTCCTGATCCCTTGTCGACAAGTCTGAGCAGCTTTTCCCTGGAAGAAGAGGGCAGAAGGCTTTGGGAGGGGGCTGGCCTTCCTTCTCCAAGGAGGCAGTGGAGAGCAGCAGGAGGATGAGCTGGACTGGCCCTGGTGGCCGCTGGAATACGTATGTGCTTTGAGAGAGTGTTCCAACAGCAAGGTCAAGGGCAGCACTCAGAAATTTCTAGTCTCCTGTGCTTCTGATCCTGGATATGGTGGGTGAGTGGAGGCAGGCAGCCTTTTGCCAGAGACAGCTTGGCACTCAGGCTCCGCCATCTGGGTTGTGAATGCTGTGTGTGTGTGTCTGTGTGTGTCTCCGTGTGTGTCTCTTTGTATGTGTGTTCTTTCCATAGACAGACTCTCTAGTCAGATGTCAGAAGGCCTCGAAACAGGGGCAAAGGAGTCCTTGATCAACTATCTCCCCAATAATACCCCCAATCCCACCACTTTCCACAAGTTAATTGTGGAACAGATTACAATTCAAAAGAGGTTGAACTTTCTTTCTTTCTTTCTTTTTTTTTTTTTAAAGATTTCATTTATTTATTTGACAGAAAGAGATACAGCGAGAGAGGGAACACAAGCAAGGGGAGTGGGAGAAGCAGGCTTCCCACGGAGCAGGGAGCCTAATGCGGGGCTTGATCCCAGGACCCTGGGATCATGACCTGCGCCGAAGGCAGACGCTTAACTGACTGAACCACCCTGGCGCCCCGAGGCTGAACTTCCATACATTTGTTGCCTTGCCCCTGTTATCCAGGTAATAAGCTTTTAAAAGATAGTCCATATTACATAATAATAATTAATGGTCAAACAGACACAAATCAAAACATAAGACAAACCAGCCACCCACAGGTTCAAGCTATTTGCTGTAGTCACCTCCCCCGTGCCCTAGGAAGGAGGCTGACATTTCTTGATTACTCTCTGCAGTCAGGGACAGGGCGGGATGTAGTGAGCTGCAGTGTTGGTTAAGAGTCCAGGATGCCCATGATGTGGGACCACCAGCCAGCAGCAAACCAAGGTTGAACAGAAAGACTGGCTGGCTTTCACAGAAAGACACAGAAGCCACACTTATGCAAGTGTATAGGAGGGAGGGGCTTGAGGAAGGGGCACTGATGGGGAAGCCCATTGGAGACCCTTTCAAGGACTCAGAGGCAGGGGTAGCCCCAGGTTCTATGTGGAGCCCATATTGGAGTATCTGAACTATTACTTCAGCTGGAGAGGAGTGACCTATTGCTTCTGGAGTCTGAGGGCAGAGGGCATACACTAGAAATAGAAAGTCATTTGCCTGCTCTTGTGAACAGCAAGGCTCTTGGAACCATTTGACCTTGAAAGTGTAGCTGTAGGAGGAACTTGCAATCACTGAGTCACACATTCAACAAATACTTACTGAGCACTTACCTGTGGCAGGTGCTGTCTGCGTGCTGAAGATACAGCCATGCACAAACAGAATCAATAACCCTGTTGTCACCGAGTCTGCCTCCTGGCGGGGCGGTGTGGATCATAAGTAAGTAAAATATATGGCATGTTGGCTGGAGAAAGGTGTCTGGAGAAAAAAAAAGGGAGAGAAAAGGGATGTTGGGGGGAGACTGTATAATTTTGAATGGAGTGGCAAATAAAGGCCTCACTGAGAAGGTGATACTAAAATGAAGATGAGAAGGAGACTTGTGAACACTTCGAGAAAGAGTGGGCCAGGCAGAGGACATGGCAGGTGCAAAGACCCAGTGGCAGGGGATACTGCCAGAGCAGAAGGTACAAAGGAAGGCCGGTAGGAGATGACACAGAGAGAGGGGTGTCTCATGCATGACCTTGTGGATTATTTCAATGCCTTTGTTATTATCTAGACGAGAGATGGAAAGTTGTCGGACCATTTCTAGCACAGAAGTGACTTAGGATCACTTTCCCCGGGTTGTTGACCAGAGACTGAAATAGTTTTGGCCTTAGCTCTGGGAGTGTGGTGAGATGGTCCCCAGGGGCAGGGGAGGACACCGTCAAGGCAGATATGAGCATGGGGACAGTTCGGCCCTAGACCTCCGGTTCATTGCCCTTGCATACCTAGCTCACACCTCTCTGCAGTTATGAACTTGGAGTGGTGCCAGTGGGCTGATAGTCCAAGCTGATAGGACAGGCTGTTGACATTGGGTACCTGGGAAGGGACGTTGGATGGGAAGACAACGAGGTAAACTCACAAACACTCGGTAACATAGAGGGAAAGAAAACTGCAGTTCCGTAATATAATCCCGTTTATGTCAAATTGCACGTGTCTATATGCAAGAAGTGTGAGGTGTGTGAAAGCTGGCCATTGAAGGCAGGTAGGGGTTATGTCTGGGTGGCTGGCGATCCTGACTTCCCCTCCCCCCCATACCTTTCTGGAGTGTTTAAATTTAAAAAAATAACAATAAACAGGTATTATTTATATAACCATGAAAAAAAAAATCCAACAGAGCTCTTTTCATCATGGAAGAATAAAAGAAAACTTTATTTATGGGATTATACTGAAGATTTTGTGGTTTGTTCTGTTAATATCTTTCATGGTCTCAGGCCCTCAAGTGACCAGACTCAAAAGCGGGATGCAACTGATTGAATGGGGATGGTGATGATTTCTTCTTCAGTTGGTCAAACAGCTAAATCGAACCTGAGGCTGCTCAGCTCCAGCGGGATCCATTATCCGCCCCGCTTCTGGTTTGGGAAAGATGCAGCTGCCCTGCCTTCCCTGTCTGGGCTGCAGGGTCACTAAGAGCCCATTGACACCACTGAAGTTCATTACTGCAGAGAGGTGTGAGCTAGGTATGCAAGGGCAATGGACGGGAGGTCTAGGGCCGAACTGTACCAGGTGCCACCGCCTAGTAATTGTGGGACTCAGAGCAACACGTGCCCCCCCCAAGGTCAAAGTCTTCGAGAAGCAGAGAGAGGAGGAGGAGGAGGAGGAGGGGGGAGGGCAGGGCCTACTGGCGTTCTGACCACCGGATCCCTGCAGAATCACCTCACATGAATAATTAAGTCCCCAACAAGCTGAGGAAACAGTTCTTGGCAAGCGGGGATCCCGTGAAAATGCAAAGACCCGAGCTGAAGTAGGCACTCCGTGTTGTTTTAATGCGTGTTTAACTGCGTGTTGTTTTCACACGTTTAATGCGTTAAGTGTGTGTGTAAACATCTTTGAAAGCCCAAAGTCTCAGGGTCTCCCCGGAGGCCACTGTAAGGACTGCACAGGTTTCCTGCATTCCTGAGCCTTTGGGGCCCCGTTCCTGGGGACTCTGCACAGAGAAAGGAGGCCAGAGCCTGAAGAAGTTGAGGGCCGCCAGGGTCCCTCGGCCAGATACCTGTGGGTGACTTACAGGTGTCCCCAGAGCAGCAGATCCACACTGCGGGTTACCAAGGCAACACCCGCTCCTCCTGGGACAAGAGAGGAAGCGAGTGCTGACAGGGTAGGATTTCATGAGCTGCCTTTCCAGAGGGATCCGGGCTAAAAATACCCTCACAATTGGCACTTGCTTGGCTCCGGGAGCCTCCGCCTGGTGTCTCGCTCCCCGGTGGTGTTCTGATCCCCCAGAGCAGGGTGCAGGGCTACCTGGGGCGGGGAGGGCACCTTCCGGGCCTGGCTGCGGAGGCCTGGGACAGGGCTGGCGCGAGGACCAGGGTAGCTGTTTTCCTGGCAGACACAGGTCCCTGTCTTACTGACGGCACCAGAAGTCAATAGGTCGGCCACTCCCCGGCAGCCGACCTAGAATAATAAAACCACTGGCAGCCCCGGAGGGCGCCGGAGACAGGTACACACTGCTCTTGAACCCGCCCGCCCGCCCGCCGCGAGCGGCGGCGGAGGGCTGAGCAGGCCCCTCCCAGGTCCCCGCAGCCTGGGATTCGCCTACCAGGTCCCGGCTCCTTGGGTGCCACGCGGCGGGGACACACGCTGAAGCGGAGAACTGAGCTCCAGCCCCTGCGACTCCCAGGCTTCCAGCCTGTGCTGCTGAAGGCAGCCCTCATTCCGGGTCTACGTGGGGGGAAAGACCCGGAGAGTGGACGTCTGCGCGGGACTCCGGGGGGGTTCCGGGATTCGGACATCCGGGCACCTCCGGGGATCGAGGCCCTCCGAGGCTGGCCATTGAGTACCGCTCTACACCCTGCAGGGGGTGAGACTTGAGGCCGTGACCAAAGTCTCACACCCCTGGTGATGGGCCGCCCGGGCAGAGAGCCCACCTGGCTCACAGAATCCACCCTAGCAGCCTCTACACTGATGCTCCTTCAACTTTATGTGGCACAGAATCACCAGTGCAGGTTCTGACTCCACAGGTCTTCGCGGGGCCTGAGACTCTATTTCCGATAGGCTCCCGGGTGGTGGCCATTTTGCTTTTTCTGTGGAGTAGCAACTATGAGGAGGGCTTCAGGGCGATGGTTCTCAAACAGGGGAGCAGATAAGAATCCCTGGGAGGCATTTTATTATCTATTTATTTAATTATTAGAGAGAGAGCGAGCTAGGGAGCAAGTGCTCCAGCAAGCGGGGGAGGGGCAGAGGGAGAGGGAGAGAGAGAATCTTAAGCAGGTTCCACGCCCAGCGAGGAGCCTGCCATGCAACTTCATCTTAAGATCCTGAGATCATGACCTGAGCCGGTTGCTTGGTGGCTTAACTGACTGCGCCCCCCAGGCATCCCCCCTCGGGAAGCATTTTAAAACTGCAGATCATGGGCCCTGTCTGTGACTTCCTGAATCAGTTATCCCATGACAATATGTCAGAAACGCTAACGGGTGGTTTGATGCAGGACTCGGATTTGCAACCACTCTCCTGGAGCCTTCAGTGGATGGCGAGAGGTGGGAGAAATGCCTCCTCCAACCAGTGTGGTCCAAACATTTCTCTATTTTTAGTAAGATTTGTGCTTTGCAAACCGGGCCTACCATCCTTCATTCTTCAACAAATATTTATTAAGTCTCTTCTGTGTTCCATAAGGGTCTCTTCTTTCTTTTCTAGCTGGACGGATAGGCGGCAGATGACAGACTCTGCTTCATGCCTCCAAGGCTGCAAAACTGAATTAGAGAAATCTCCAGTGGCTTAGGGTTCACTAGGTTGGCTTCCTTACATGGTTACAGAGCTACTAATGTGTTCTTAATGAGCTGCCATTTACTTATGCAAACAGTAGGGCACAGATGCCAGGGGGATTAGGGCTTGGCAGAGAGGCGTGCCTCTGCATATTGCGCATGTTTTAACACAGGAGCTGCTGTCCTTTCGGACCTACCCTTGCTTTTTGCCTTTAATTGCTGCTGTGTGGGCAGTGTTTATGCATGCCTACGTTATATGTGTGTGTGTGTTAGGGGGTCTCAGCAAGCCAGCCCGGGATGAGGGTGTCTCCACCAGCCAGAGGTCCTGGTGGGAATCACAGACCTCCCCCTGCCCACACCGGCCTCGAGCCTGGCCGAAGACCACTGGTGAAGACCCGGGAGGTGGGGAGGCCAGGGGCTGTTGAACTACATGGCGTAATGGGCTTACTGGATCCGAGCAGTGCTGTGAATTTCACTGCTGCCCTTCATGAAAAACTTTTAGCAAAGGTTTCCTTGCATCTTGTCAAAGGACGAAAAAAACAAAACCCAAAACCATGAAAAAAAGCACTATTTCTCTCCTGCTTTCCCAAGAAACTTCCCCTTCCACATGAGCGAAGACGCTGCTCAGAGCGCGGTGGTGTGAGATCTCTGAGCGCGTAGCTCTGGCCTGGGTACTGGCATCTTCACTGATGCAAGGGAACAGCTTGCGGGCGCTGTTGACATTTGCTACCACAGCAGACACTGTCCAAACAGAACCCAGTAGGCCTCTCTCCTCATTTCCAAGAGCTTTTGGAACGTGTATCAGAGAGCAAAAATCTGTCCAAACAGGCACGGCGTTCTTGGGAGAGTCGGCGCCACGCTTCTCATGTGCTTCTAGGCCTGCTCGCCCTGGTATCTTATTTATTTATTTTTTTTTTGTAATTGCAACTTGGTTTATTTCCCTGGTATCTTATTGGCATTGTTTTGCTGCCACTCTTTTTCTCCAGCAATGACTGCTTTGCTCGCATGTCTTCGGTGCTCACTGCAGACTCTCCCCATCCGGCCGGCCTGCTCCATCACCTGGTGGGAAACGCCCGTTGCTGAAGAATCTCACAGATGCTGCCAAGGGAGGCTCTTCCTATCCCTTCCTGAGGTGCGACGCTTGTAGCTTGCCCTTCCTGTCCCCACATCCCATGCCTCTGCTGGCCCGGCCCCAACCCTTTCCCCCTCTGTGGCCGAGACTGCTGTGAGCTCGTGCAGCTCCTTCCTAGGAACCTAGGCTGGCAGGGACCGTTGGACCCCATGACAGCTGGGACGATGAAGGTGTCTTGGTCTGTGCCTACTCCCTCCAGCTCAGGAGTCACCTCTTCCATGAGAGCTGTGAGTCCTGAGTGGAGCGAGCTTTCATCTGCTGCCCCAGGGGCAGAAGGCTGGAGTGCAGCGTGGTAGATGGCACTGTACGTTTCAGCCTTGGCTGTCGCTTGAGTAGACATAAATCACCTTGTCTCTTGGGTCTCCATTTCTCATCTGCAAAATGGGGAGATTGGTCTGGCCTTATCTGGCCCACGCTGATTCAAAAAAGCAAAAACACAAGAACAAAACAAAAAACCCCCATTTGGCTTAACATTCGAAAATCAGAGGTTTCATGTAAAAGTATGGATTTTTCCCTTATGCAGAAAAATCGGCATATTTGGCAACATCATTGCCTCTTGGCAGCAATTGAATGCCGCTGAGTAACTGTTGCCCTTTTTTGTAGGCTGTGCTCTGCAGCTGGGTCCACTCTGGGCTCACCTCTGACAACAGCCCTGTTCATTCCATTACGTTATGTATTTTGTCTTCTAGGCCCATCTATTAATTTCTTGGGACTGCCATGACAAATTGCCACAAACTGAGTAGCTTAGAACTACAGAAATTTATTCTTCTATAGTTCTGGAGGCCGGAAGTCTGAAATCAATGTGCTGGCAGGGCAGTGCTCTCTCGGGAGGCTCAAGGAAAATCTTCCTTGTCTCTTCCTTGCTTCTGGTGGTTGCTGGCAGTCTTGGTGCTCCTTGACTTACAGATGCATTGCTCCAATCTCTGCTTCCATTGTTACGTAGCCTTCTCCCTGTGTCTCCATGAGTGTCTTTATAAGGGCCCTCGTCATTGGATTAGGGCCCACCTTAATAGAATATGAGCACGTCTGAACTTGATTACATAAAGTCACATTTGGAGGTTGCTAGTGGACATGAATTTTGGGGGACACTGTCCAACCCAGTGTAGCCTTGTGGGCTGGCAACCTTTGGTCCAGCTGGCTTCACGTCCTCTGGCTTGCTGTCCTCCTGACTTCTGTCCTCAGTTTTCTTCCTCTGGGTGGCATTTTCACTTTCCTTCACCTCTCTGGATGTGAAGAGGAGGCCTCACAGTCTTCCGGTCTTGCTTTGGCTACTGGAAGGGCCACCTTGGGGACAATCATTGCTTTTCTGGGTGTTTTGTTTGTGCATGTTACTGCAGGACAACAGAAGCTGCCCTAGGCTGTGGTGGGAGCAGGCTGAGAATGGGAGGCACGTTCTCTTGCCTGGTCAGAGGCAGCTCCCTGTGGCACTGTCTCCGAATAGCCCCTTCCCTGAGTTGCCCTTTATTCTACTACTTACTACTAAATTGCGCTGAAGTGTTAATAGACCTGTTTCCTCTCTAGGCTCTGAGCTCCATGGGGTCAAACATTGTTCTTTTACTCCAGAAATTCAGCCAGGAGGATGACAGGCCCTTAGCAGATGTTTGCTGAGCAGATGATGCTTTAGGGAGCTCACCAACTCCATAATCAGGGTGGGCCCCACCCCCGCCAACTTGCCCCCTCTTTCATGCCACCTTAGGCCCAAAGCTGCTGTGTTACTATCCTGAGTGCCCTAGTTTCTGACTCTTCCATAGTCTACCCAGCCTTGATAAGTGCATAATTGAGAAAAGATGGGGATCTGGGCTTTTCCTTGCTAGTCCTTCTCACTGCCAAGTCTGGTGTTGTGTGTGTTTTGGAGTTTCCTTCCCCCAGCCTTCAATCCTGTTAAATAGAAACATTTTACTTAATTTCAGGAGGGCATTTTCCCCAGATCTATCTCCAGAGGTGGGATGATGCCCACGGTCTGCCTAATCCTGGCAGATTTCATGTCTTTTGTCAAGGTCCTTCATCCTAACGAGACTCAGTTTCCCCATCTGCTGTGTTCATGCTGCATTAAGTTTTTTTTTTTTTTCCCCCCAAAAAACATCTATTGAGTTCTCATCATGTACCAGGTGTGGAATAAAGTAGTGAATGAACGAATATGGGCCATCGTCCTGGAGTATTATTTGATTTAAGCTGTGACGGGTGTTGTAGAAGCTAAACACGTGGTCCTATGACAGTGTCTGTCAGGAGGGCCTGATCAGCTGGGAGAGCTAAGGAAGGATGGCCTCCTTAGAGCATGGCATTTGAGCTGTGCTTTGAAGATACCTAGGAGTCTGGTTGGCGGCGGTAGGTGAGGACAAGGAATGACAGGAGCAGGACACATGGAGACCATGAGGTCGGAGAACGTAGCCCCAGCCAGGAGCAGGGAGAAGGCCAGCGTACCTACACGTTGGAGAGTGAAGGGGTGAGGTGGCACTGGCGAGGCCAGGAGGGCGGACTGGGGCCAGGCCGCACCGGACCCTGTGTGACCTTGCGTGCCGTGGGAGCTACGGAAGCACTTTAAGCAGGTGAGCGACGTGTCCAAGTTTGCATTTTGACGTGCTCACTCTGGCTGCTGTGTGTGGGGTAGACTGGGAGGAGCAAGAGGGGGGATGAGGACAGCAGTCGAGAACCACTGGAGTCTTTTCAAGCAACACTTGATGATCTTTGAGGCCGTGGTGGAAGGAGTGGGATGGGGCAAAGCAGGTGGCTCTGGATAGTGCTGGGGGTCAGCTGGGCCTGCTGATAGACTGGGTCTGGGAGTGAGGGCAAGGGAGGCATCAAGGGTGACTCAGGTTTCTGGTTTATAA